CCCCTCCCCCTTTTCTGATGAAGGGTCTAGGCCCGAAACGTCAGCCTTTCTGCTCCTATGATGCTGCTTGGCCTGCTGTGTTCATCCAGCCCTGCACCTTGTTGTCTCAGATTCTCCAGCATCTGCAGTTCCTACTATCTAGGACAGAGGAAGTATAGTTTAAAGGTTTAAGTTTATTGTAATTAAATCTTCTTAAACTTTCTTGCAGGTGAATGTCTACGTGTTGGGAAAGACTTTTCTTCTCCTGGCCAGAGAGCTTTGTATAAATGCTCCAGCAATAGGTCTGTAAGCAATAATTCCTTTCATGCATTGTAATTAATGAGTACACCAATGTTTGTTTTTAGTCTTTAGCAGCAAACAGAGCCCGTGTTAGTTTTTTTAAAATCTGCTGTAGTATAAAGGTGAACTCTCTTTCCATTATAACTTTTCACTCTTTGTTCTTAAAGTATTCAAAATGGTGCCAGATTGTGGCGACAGTTGAAGCTTTTCACTGTATTTTACTGTATTATTCACTGTAATGCAAGTGACAATAAATCATTGAATTCAATTCACTGTTCCCAACACAAGATAAGCAAATTTTTTTTGGGGTGTTGGCAAATCAGGAGACATGGGAAGTTGCCAGTGGAGTGAAGTTCAAGTAATATTATGTTGAATGATGCAGCAAGCTCAAAGAGCCATGTGGTCAATTCCTATTTCTTGTGTGCCATACAAATTGGGAAGATTCAATCCCCAGTCTGTTCCAAGTTAGCTTATCTTCGCCAGAAGCAGTGGAAAGAATGCTGCAGATAGTAGTGGGAGAAAGGTTTTGTCCTCTGGTGCTTTCTGCTGAACAGTGACCACATATGAAGATCCAAACGTCAACAAATCGTGTAGGTCTGTGAAACACATGAAAGATCAGAGAAATTTGTAGAGAGAGAATGCTAATTGGTAATTTTGACCTTGCAGGGCATTGAAAAGAAAGGACTTGAATTTTAAAGTGACTTTCATGATCTTTGAATCCCAGGGTGCTTTACTATTAGTGAGGTACTTTTGAAATACGGACACTCCGGCAATGAAAGGAATGTGGCAGCCAATTTGACTGCAAGCTCTCTCAAACAGCAATGTGAGAATGACCAGATAATGTGTTTTTATGATATTGATTGAGATAAATATCAGATCAACACCCCTGCTGTTCTTTGAAATAACGCTGGAGAATCTTTTATGCTCACTTGAATGGAGTGCTATTTTCATGTCTGATGTGAAAGGTGCTGTCTGTGACAGTGCAGCTTTCCCTCGGTACTGAATGTCGATAGGCAGGCAGAGGCAAGGAATCTACTCCGAGTCCTGGCTGAACAAAAGCAATCTCCTGATGGCTCGGGTTTGTTAAGTAATAAAGTGCCACTGGACTAGGTTCATCCTGATTTAGTGATTATAGGCTTGCAGCAAATGGCCTTGAGATTGAGGAGGAAATTGTCCTGATTTCCTGCTTCTAAATACTATTGAGTAATTTACAACTGAAAGCAAGTTTGTTTTAATTATTCATTCACAGGATGTGTGAGAAGGTCAGTATTTATTACCTATCTCGAATTGTGCCTGTGCTACGTCCAAAATGATTTGCTAGGTAATTTCAGAATGACATTGAGTCAACTACATGTCTGTCGTGGGCCAGGCCATGGAAGGATGGCTGATTGCCTTTCTGAAGTTATGAGTAAACCAGATGGCTTTTAACAATTTGGTAGTTTTATGATCACCATAATTAACTGAGAGGATTTTTAGAACTGCAGCTTTATTTAATTAATGGCATTTAAATTTTCCAGCTGCCAGAGTGAACTTGTCTCTGAATCATTAGTCTAGGTTTCTGAATTACTAATTCAGTAATACAACCACTCCACAACTCTTGTAGATTTGAGTGATGCTTTCTGTGATTGAATATCCTTCAAGGGGGAAATAGTGAAATCAGATGTTAGTTGCACACCAGTAGTAAGCTGTAAGTGACGTAAAGGTTGAACAAGGTTAGCCATGCTTTGTGCTTCACAGGTTGCAGCGTGACTTTGGGTGTGGCAATCTTTAGTGTCTGTGGGGATTCGTATATGACTAGCTTGCTAGTCCAACTGTGACCCTGCATTTGATTTAATCGGATTCAGAATTTAACAGCCATACCTTTTTTCCCTAAATATGTCATATACTCAACTTTGAGCAAGAAGTGAGGTATTAAGCCATACAAATCAAGATGTCATCAGTGCAATGTTAGGTAGAAGTTCTACAGAACTTGTAGAACCTTAACTCTAGGTGTTGACTTTCCACAGCAGAACTGCAAAAAATCCCAAGCAGTTTATAAAATTGTACTCGGATAGAAATCAGCCCCAAGTATGAAAATATTTGGGGGTGTTAGCTAAACCATAATTGAAGAAATGCATTTCAAGAAGGATCCTCAAGAAAGAGGTGGAGGTGATGGTGGGGCATTCCAGTACTTAATACCCAGATGGCTGAAAGCTCAACAGCCCATGGTGGGGCGAAAGTTGGAGGAATGCCAAGAACTCTGCAGGTTGTTGAGCTGAAACAGCTACAGAGTTGGGGAGGACAGAAGCCATGCAGCAATTTGGAAAATCAGAATTTGAAATAGGAAGTCTTAGAGATTGAGAGCCAGTGTGGCACAGCAAAGACGAATGGTGAGTTAACAGGAATTTGAGTGGGTTTTGATTCATGCAGAAGAGTTTTAGATGAGTTAAATTTTTGGAGGGTGAAAATTAGGAAGGCATCAAGGAGAGCATAGGAATGGTTGAGTCTGGAGTAAAGTCATGGTTGTTGGTTTTAGCAGCAGATAAGCTGAGGTAGGGAAGGACAAGTAGAACTGGTATATGCTTTCTTTGTGATGTAGAGGGTATGAGATATTGTTTGACCAGAGATAGTAACTGAGGAGGCGGTTAGAACAGGTTCCAAGGGTAAGCAGTGTGTGACCATCACCAATAATGACTTTTCAGTTTTGTCCAGAACCAAATGTTGGAACAAACCAGTGTGGGGTTGTGAGATCTGGCATAATATTCAGGGCTATTGGACTGGAGATGGGATGGGAAGGATTGCTGGTAGAGAAATTCTAATGCAACTGAATTTTGATCACCTCTACACGAGTATTTTCCCAAGAGTTGCTGCCTAATTAGCTAGAGCCTTCGCTGTTGCCACCCCCCAGGGCCCAGTAGCAGAGCTTGTCACAGACCAGGAAAAGAACCTCAATGTGTGCTGTAAATGCTTCACCCTTTTGGAAAATACAATCAATCTTCCACAAAACTAATCAAGAAGTAAGGATGAGTGTCTGATGTGATAATCAAATTCCACCCTGGCACTCGTCCAAGGTTGGGAAATAGTAACTTCTTTGAACTGAGGTGAGTGCAAACAGAATTTTTGGGGTAGAATAATTCGCTGGCCGATTTTTGAGATTGACAAGGAAACTGAAGGTTGTGACTGCTGATGGCTGGTGGAATAAACAGGTCTTTTTATTTTGGTGATTTAAATCTCCAGACAAGGAAATTGTTCAGTTAGGTCACGTTTGCTGTTCTGCACGGGCCCCTGAAAAGAACAGTGCTGGTCCTGTCGTGTATTATGCGGACACAGAGAATTCAGACCTTTGTATCGCTGATTGTTTTCTGTAGTAAAACAGCTGCACAAAACTTGACAGATGAAAGCTACCTTATTGTATAAATACAAGAGAAAAAGAAAGATTCCTGGACACCGATTCAGAAAGAAAGAAATATAGAGAGTAAGGCAGAATGAGAGGCTGAGAGAGACTGCAAGGATGTAGACAATATTTTATAAATAGTGTGATTCTGAAAGGAGACTTTTTCATTAACTGCCAGTAATAGTCAGTGCCGTGTTGTTGATATTGGATTTTTAAATGATGTTGCATGTGTATTGCAGGTATGTGAGGAGATGATGGGTCAAAGTGTATGTGTGGTAGCCCTCTTTTTTTAAACAGGTAATTAAATTCTTATGCTGCCATTATTTTTCCTGCTGTGAACTTATGGCAGTAGACCACGGTCCTGCATTAAATGGCAGATCACCATTGGGTATGAATGGGTTACTGTTTAATCAGGAGAGTAACACAAACAAACCTAGTCTCTTCCATGCATTTTCAGTAGGAGTTGATGAGGTAATCAGTGGAATATTCATCTTGTGTCTGTCTTTTCACTATTATAGAATCATTTGTGTTCTTTTATCTTGTAGGACCTGTGTGTGTGTGTGTGTGTACATGCATGCACACATACCTCTCTTTTTCACCCATCGTGTATGTTTTACCTCACTCTCTTTGCGCTTACTAAGTGACTGTCTTCCTCTTGATCTGTCTGTCTGCGTTCCCTTTTTTGAATTTTGTGGTAGTGTTAGAACGGTCTAAAGAATTATTTTTGCCACATCTAGAATACTGTACACAGTTTTGGTGACCACATAAGAGAAATGATGTAATTGAAGTTGACAGAATAGGGAATTTTAACCCTGAGGAAAGATTAGTTAGACTTGGGTTTTCTTTGCATTTGAAAAAGCTAAGGGAGGATTTTGAGATGCATAAAATTATGGCGCTCATCAAGGTGGATAGGAAGGACCTATTTCTCTTGCAGGTCACTAACCAGGAAGCATGGACGTAAAGCTATTGGCTGAAAGGTTAGAGGGGACTTGAGGGAAATTTTTAGGCAATTTCTTTTTGCTTAGATTGAAGGTAGTGCCTCAAAATCACTGAAAACGTTGGTACAGCCAGAACCAATTACCACATTTATAAGTGCTTAGGTATGCACATGAAATGTCATAAACTACAACAAGAGTTACAAAGTGGGATTAGGCTGGCTAACATTCCCATGTCATAAATTTTTGTGCTTCTCATTCCTAAGTCTCTCCTCACTGTATCGCTGTGTCCTGTTCTGTGTTTTTTACTATCTCTATGCTCCATGTCTTCTTTCACTATCAGCACCCTAGCTTTTTGTTACTGTCACTACTTGCTCTATTTCTCGTATTGCTCCCAATATCACTGAAGCTTTCTTTCAAGGAAGATATCATTGTATATTTATTAGAAGCCTTTATTTTAATTTGAAAAATGTTGTGGGAGGAGTCTTTAGAGTTTGTAATCCTGTATTTTAGTTAAAACTGTGTACATGCTAAAAGTTGTGTTGATTTGCCACATGTCCTTTTGGAGGAGCTTTGTAAATTGTGCATTGTAATGAAAAGCTTTTCTCACATGTATAAATGATGTATTGTACACCAATGTTGTTCAGCTCAGTGGAAGTACTATACATCTGTCAGTAGTTTCACATTTAACATAAAAAACCAGGAACATCTGGGCCTCGACTTAATGATAAGGTGAAAATGTGATTTATTCTCTTTGTCCATTTAATACATAGCATTGTTTCCCTAGCACCAACTGGTTGATTGCAGTCTGTTTATTTTAATACCTCTAATTCCCTTGTTTGTTACCCCACTATCCCAGCAGTTTGATAACCTGTTACTAGGTCTCTATATCAGGAGGAGGCGCTGCTTCCATGGGCTCTGTGCTTGTATAATATTGTTTGCGTCTTTCTGCCCTAACTGGACTCGACAAGCAGACCAGAAGTAAATTCCAAACTGCGATTTAGGCCTGGAAACTGCTGGCTTTTACAGAATGAGTGACTGTAATGCCAAAATAATGTCCCATACATGCACAGGCATGTGTCTTAACATCAGCCTTCTGCATCAGGCTGCAGTGAGCATCTATACGCACATACGCTGAAGTCACCAGACTGGGCATGACAATATGGAGATTCTTCTCTCCAGCATTGTCCATGGAGTAGATCTCCTTGGCTGCTGCTGTGTCACCATTTGGTGCAGCTGCAGTGCTACTGGGGAGAGCCCCTTCCAGAAGTCAGGACTATTCTTCTATCCCCTTGCTGGGATCCCCCACCTTGTCCATACGCTGAAGTGACCGATAAAATGGCTGCCGGTGTGGCGCTGTGTTTCTGCTCAAGCTCGCTCATTGCTCCACCTGCTGGTGGTACTCATACTAATGGAGCCTTTACAGAAGGCCCTTTCTCTACAGTTCTAAAGTCTACTTAAAGATACGTTCAATTTCAAATTGAAGTTGTCTGTCATAGGTTAAAAAGCCCTGAGAAACAAACTTTAACTCAAGAATGGACAGCATAGCATTAGCAGCGAGTCGAACACTTTTCCGTTTTACTTTGCTAGTTACTGTTAACATTGCACTAAAAATGCCATATCTGACCCTTCAAAGCTCCCTCTGCACTTGCTTGCTCTGTTCAGCCCTAACTTCAGAACAGCATCCCTCCAGTGTTGTCTCACTTCCTCCTACACTGCCAGTTTATGTTGATTGTATGACCATTCTGCTAGTGGGGCCAAATGGCTGTGGTCTGGGCTCCCATCACATGGGCTGCCTCAGTTATTAGATGGCATCAACCCGAGCTGCATTTGAACTGTGGGCCCAGGTTGAAGGTGTCAGCTGTGGGAGAGGGGAGCTAGTCACTTAAACTACCTCATTTGCCTAAACTTTCGAGGATTGTTCCAAAATATTAAGTGGCATTTTGGCTAGTCCTGTTTTTTGGATTACTACAAACTTAAAACCTCACTCAGGTTTCTCTTTACCCTATATACACAAGAACAGGTTCAAGAAATATTACCTCAAAAATGCCAAAAAGTGCACTGGTGTAATTCTTTAAGCCAGGTTACTGAGAGGGAAAGGCATTGGTGCAGCAGGGATAGTAGCTAGTGATATATGCCTCCAGTACCAATCCAGTGTACATATCACCAAGTGGAGACTAACTGCTTCCAACAACATGGCATTATCCTTTAATCTGCTGGTGTGGTATTGCACAGCACCAATGCATGCATACAGGCTGGTATGCTTGATGGAAGGAAGGAGGGAAATGTGTTAATAGCTACTCAAATTAGCAGAGAAGTGGAACTGTTTAGCTCCTAACCTAGTATTTTCAGAAAATTCCAGACCCAAACTGAATGAGGTTACCATGGAAGTCCTGACTTCTCAATTATGACCCTCAGGTTAAATCACCAGTCCATTCCCTCTAACGGGAGAGCGCTCTATGGTCCTCTGGGACTACAGCAATTTTATTTTCAGACTGAAGTATAGAGGAAGAAAGTAAAAACATATTTGAGTGATAGTTGGACAGCACTTTTGCAAAAATCTGTAGAGCTATTAATTCCTACAGCACATAGTTTGGAACGTGATCGTTTTGATCAGTGATCTTTTCTGTTCCTGTACCTCCCTAAACTGTAATAAAGACAACTTTAGGATAAAATCTAACCATGTAAAAATCTTTATACTGTACAGTTCATTACTTGCAAGTACACTGGAGGTGTTAAAACATGTCATTCATTGGTCAGCTTCAAGCCACTTTAAACAGCACATCTGTACAAAAAGGAGTGCACTACTGAACACTGCCCATTGCAGCTTCAGTAAGTCAAATAACAACTGCCTAGGCATTATAAATAAATAAAATTAATTTACAATCAAACATTCCTTCAAATTTTAAAGATGGTTTGACTCTGCCTGACTCTTGATGTAATAGGACCACGTGTGGAGTTTAATATATTAATCGGTTGAAGCAGCAGGAAGTCTGAATCCTTGCTGTGCTCCCTTCTGTTAGCAGCAGTTGGATGCAGAACATCTTTTGTTTTAGTTTCAGAGAGGCAGGTCTGAGCATTTTTTGTTCATGCATAGAAAATAAGTTCAGGAATCTGCCCGCCTTGTACCCCTGTGCCATTAGTGCTGTCCGATGAACACTGGAACTGAAATGTCACTTTCCCACACTGCACTTCTGTCATGCCCTCTTGTCCAAAGTAACTAAGCTCGTTACCATCCAGGATGGCACTGGCAGTGTAGAAGGTGTCCTGCTCCACCTGCACCGGGTGCTCGAACCAGACAGAGAAAGTGGTGCTGGAGCCATCCGATATGAACTTGGTAAAGTTTTGAGCTAGGACTACCCCCTGCCGCTTCAGTTCGATCTTGACACTGTATTCTGCCTTGCCACAACTTGAGCCGTACAGCCCTAGCCCGGCGATAAAGACACGCTTGTCCACCGCAAACTGGATGCTGTCACAGCGGCCCCGGTACCTCCACTGGTTGCTGCGGTAAGCTGATGACTGGAAGCGGTGGCACCGTTGGGAGGCTAGGCCTTTCCTCTTAGTGGTGGGGAATTCCAACTGCGGCTTCTTCAGGGCCGTGTACCACAAGAATATGTTGTGGGTCTGCTCCAGGGTTAACAGGTCACACTGCGCAGCCCCATTGGCAAACTCCTCCAGTGTCATGGTGGGAATCCGAACAATGTAGAGAGCCTTGCCCAGCACACTCCTCTTGTTCCGGGCAGTGGGAGGGAGCCCTTGCCTTTTGCACTCTGCCTCTGCCCAGCTCACGATGGCTTCAAACACCACCACCTCTTTGGTGTTGAGTGTCTCCCGTGACAGAATGATTTCCAAAGTCTGCAGATCGATCTCGCAGAAGCCCTCTGACCTCAGGGCGAGCTCTGCCTGGGCATCAATCACCTCCCAGCACCGTTGGGTCAGCTCAGGCTCCTCAAAGAGCCGACTCTGGGACAGCAGGACACAGGCATTCTTTGCCTCCAAGCTGGTCTCCAGGAAGTTAACACAAGCCTTTGCCAGATACGGGACAATATACTTCTTGGCAGCGTACAGTGAAGCCAGCACTGTGTCTGCTTCCAAGTCAATCTCATCACTGTACAAATACCTATAGACAGGGGAACAAAAACTCACTGAAATTCTCGCCACTTGAAAATCTAATGCAGAACAAAAAAAAATTCCTGAGCAATTAACTTCACTTAGATTTAATACGCGCACACAGAAGTTTAAAGCCAGCTTAAAATTTCTCTATCTTAAAGCAAAATAGTCGCAGGCAGCGTCTTTTAAAAAGTATCTCAGATTTTAAACAAGTTAGTGATGAAATGGCCTCCTTTAAAAGGTTATTTTTGGCCCCCGCGCAGCTCCCTCTCCCAGCCCCACACATAATGTCTCTTACTTTAGCAGAATTAGGAAAGCTGCGGGTTCCACATCTGGAATATGAATGTCGGGCTTATCCTCAGCGAGTTCTCCATAAAACATGGCATAGAAAACGGAACTGCCGACTGCCAGAATGTACTGGAAGAGAATAACACAAGTTCAAGACAAACAAAAGATTAGGAGCGCGGTGCACACATTTATTAGCAACGCCTTTCCCTGCAGGATCCTACATGCAAAAAAAAACTATTCCTTGCATGTAATTTATAATGCGCTTAACTGCTTTTTTTTTGAAGAAAGAAAACATTAATTAGTTGCCAAGCGTGAGTAGAGCAATCGCTCCCTGTCACGCAACTTTCAGCTACACTGTACTTAAAAAAAAAAGGATCGCTGATTGCAGCTCCTGTTTTATGCATTCATTTCCAACAAAATGCACTTCAAATAGCTCCCGTGGTTAAGACACAACGCACCTTATGAGCTGGAACTCTCTGTGTGGATCCCGGAGAACCTACGATAAAATGCACATCGGCCATCAGTTCGTTATTGTACATCATCGCATTTCTGCAAAAGAGAGGGAGCAAAACGTTCGGTTATTTTTTTTTTAAAAAAGGTGGTTTTATTTGCAAAATTTGAAAATAAAACAGGAATAAAGGGAGAGGCAGGTTGGTAGTGAGTGCTCACTTACCTTTCGCGGAGGGTAGGGTAAAAGGATTGCCAGTTACTGTTGTGGATGTGGTTGTTGTTGAGATTTTGATCCTGGCCTTGGCGGAGCAGGAGGCTGCGTTTGGAGTTGCTACCGCTGAGATTGTTGCTCGGGCAGCTGGTACTGCTGTTGTTGCTGTTCTCGCTGGATTGCAGGCTGCTACTGTTATTGCTGCTGTGTTTGGAGGGATACAACTCTGCAGCCATCTTCTTACCAAGCGAAAGCGTTACGATCTCATAGCAAGCCGGGAGCTTGCTGCCGTTGCTTTCTCTCTTCACGCTCTTGGACTTTCTAAGGGTTTCTGAAAACATAAAAAAGAGCAAACAAAAAGTCAAGGACAGGTGGGGGAAAGAGATACAAACCCCAAGGTCTCTGATCTACAGTGGGCTCTTAATTCACATTTTTTTTTAAAAACTCAATAGGAAATACAACTTTCTGTCGATATACTGACCCTGGATATATTTCACGAGCAACATAAAGATTCTGGATTGTTTGAGTTTAATTTTCCACCAGTGGATGCGAGCCAGATTTGCAGTAAAAAAAAAGTTTTTTCCACCCCCTTTAAGTCAGTGACCAAATCCCACTGTAAACAGAGCAAACAACTGCGATTGTGCTTCTCCTCTTCCCTCCACGTCCTTCGACTTGAAAAATCCCAAAGATAAAAATAGTGCAGCAAATATCCGGGCCAACGACAGAGGGAAAAAAATCCTGCCGATTTTTTGTTCTTCTTTACACGATGTTCGCCTCTTCCGGAGTAAAAGTTGGAAGAGTGCAATTGAGGCTTTTGTTTCTTCTTCCCCAGCGAAAGGCAGCACTGGAAATGTATTTTAATTCCGATTTGCAGACTTTACTCCAAAGCTGCCTGTGAATCTACAAACTATCAGATCGTGCTGGCTCTCCCTTTTTCACTAACAGCAGGTGTTCACGTGACGAAAACCTAACCCAAACATCAGGCTCCAATAATAAAAGGAAGGAGGGGGTGAACAGAAGGGAAAGAGAGAGGGGGCCGGATGAATACTCAGCCCCGATTGATTAGGATATTTAACATGGAGAGGAAAAAGGGGCTGGCGCTCACAGAGCGGTTTGCATGTCAGTCTGCAATCAGCCCACCCAAATCACAGAGAGACATACAATTCTGTACGTTACAGCACGCACTAGCGCCGTGTGTTTATGTATTCATTCCAGGGGGTGTGTTAACGAACGTATTGACTGGCTCAGGTTAAAACCAATGGGCGGGGGAAGTTGCCTTCGGAAATCGAAGTTCAGTCAGGACCCGATTTAATAGCAGCTTTTAAAACGCATGGTTCGGCACAACAAATAATGTCCCTTTCTCCATCTCTTCCTCCCACACACACGTTAATCAGAGCAGCAAACAGATTCTTTGTTTTTCTTTAAATGATTACACATTGATCAGCAAGGGTAAAGGTTGGGAGGGAAACATACACATAAAAAACACAAACACAGCGCTCGATTCGCCCGGCCCCATTTATAGGCCAATCTGGGGATAGGCTCATTGCAACACACGCCCTTATTGATTTTCTCTTTTATAAATCGGCTGAGTCTAGCTTTGTTCAAGCTCCTTTACTGTACCTGGGCGGTTTTTTTTAGCTGAGCGGGGTTAGGAGAGAAGAGACGGTGAAAGTTTGGGTTCTTCGATCTTCCCAGCAGCAGGAAACCATGATCCAGCTCTGAATCTAACCATCTCTCCTCCTCCAGTCCAAACAGCGATTCCGGGGAATCAGGCAAGTGCCTGGAGGTTGGGCTTAAAGATAAACCATCTGCTTTCTTAACCGATCCCGACCTTCATCAGCAGAGGGACTCCGAGTTCCCAATCCTGGCAAATAAAATGTCAGATCCGTGCCTTGCAGGATGTAGGATTTAAAGGGCACTTTTTTTTAGCGTCAAAGCTTTGTTTGTCAAACATTGGGTATCATGACACAAGTTTCAAACATCATACACAGACTACGAAAAAATTACTGATGGAGACTTACAGTTGATATGTCTAAGGTAATTTTTTTTCATTTAACCTTTGCAATGCCACATTAAGTACCGCAAGTGTAATGGTAATACTGAGTTTAACAAAAAGAAAAACTATCTCTGATTATTATCCAGTGGCCCTATGAATGATGATAGAATCTTTTGTTTTTTTTCAAATCATTATCGAAGACCCCTCCACCCAGTAATGATTTCCCACAACCTTTTCTGTCAGGCAGAAGACACAGAAGCTTGAACACACAAACCACCAGGTTCAAAAACAGTTTCTTCCCTGCCACCACTAGACTGATCAATGGACTCTCTAACTTCAAATAATGTTGATCTTGTTTTGCACACCTCCTGTGCAGTGTAACCTGTATGCTTCTCTCTTTCTAAGCACCCTATGATCTGTATGTCCCACCTGTACTGCTCACAAACAATGCATTTCACTGTACTTAGGGACACGTGACTACAGCAAATCAAATCAAATCTATTGATCTAAAACATAGCTGCCTTATCACTAAAACTTAGAATAAAAACACTGTTGGAGGGCCTATCTTTCAGGTGAGACATTATTGGAATGTTCCATTTGCCCCCTCAGATGGGCATTAAAGATCCAATGACACTGTTTCCGAAGAGGAGAATTGCATTCTCTGGTGACTTGGCAGCCATTTGTCTCTCGATCAACATCACAAAATCTCATTACTGTATTCAGTTATGTTATTGGGAGCTTGCTTTGTGCAAATTGGCTGCCGTGTTTCCTACACTCCACGAATTATGGAAGGCTGTATATAAACGCAAGTGTTTCTTCACTTCTTTAAACCACTTCATCAATGGTGGAGAGTGTGCCCCTGTCTATGTCAATGGTGCTGAGGTGAAGATAGACGAGTTTCGGGAGTGATGATCAATCTGTCCTGATCCACCCTCGTTTATGCTATGGCCAAGAAAGCATAACAATGCTTTTACTTCCTCAGGAGGCTAAGGAAATTCAGCATGTCCATAAAGACTCCACCAATTTTTATAGATGCAACATAGAAAGCATTTTGTCTGGATGCATCATGGCTTGGTACGGCAATTGCTCTGCCCAGCACCATAAAAAACTACAGAGTTGTGAACACAACCCAGTCCATCACGCAAGCCAACCTTCCATCCATTGACTCCATCTATACTTCTCGTTGCCTCAGCAAGGCAGCCAAGAAAGAGTGCAGAAAAGATGCTAGGATGCTACCTGGACTGGAAGGTTTGAGTTATAATGTGGAACTGCTGGTGTTGGACTGGGATAAACAAGGTCAAAAATCACACGACCCCAGGTTATAGTCCAACAGGTTTATTTGAAGACACAAGCCTTTGGAGTCTCACTCCTCCTTCAGCTGTCAGTGAGAGAGGTGGCATCGGGCTCAGAATTTATAAGCAAAAGATCAAAGGGTCATAGAACTGCTGGGTGTTGAACAAACTTAAGACGGCTGTGCAAATTACTGAATTTCTTCCAAACCACTGCCCTGTGATAAGGAGAGTCTGGGACTTTTTTCTCTGGACCGTAGGAGACTGAGGGGCGACCTTATAGAGATCTATAAAATCATGAGAGGCATAGGTAAGATAGATAGCCAACAGCTTTTCCCCATGGTAGAGGAGTCGAAAACTAGAGTACATAGGTTTAAGGTGAGAGGGGAGAGATACAAAAGTGTCCAGCGGTGCAATATTTTTCACACAGGTGGTGAGTGCCTGGAAAAGGCTGCCAGAGGTAGTGGTGGAGGTGAGTACAGTTTTGTCATTTAAGAAACATTTGGGCAGTTACAACTATGGAATAGGTATGGTGGGATATGGACCAAACACAGGCAAATGGAACTAGTTTAATTGTGAAAACTGGATGGCATGGGCAAGTTGGGCCAAAGGGCCTGTTTCTGTGCTGTAAGCCTCTACGATTCTGTAACATAATCAAAGACCCCTCCCATTCCAGTTATAATCTCTTCTATGCTCTTCTGCTGGGGGCAGAAGATACAAAAGCTTAAACAAACGTACCAACAGATTCAAGAACTGCTTCTTCCCTGCTGTTAGTAAACTTATGAATGGACCTCTCAACTTTTAAATTTCATGTTGATCTCGCTGTTTGTGCACCTTATCTCCAGCTGTAACATTGTATTCTTCGCTGTATTACCCTAATATACTTTGTATGTTATGATCTGCCTGTACTGCACACGAAGCAAAACTTTTCACCATATCTAAGCACATGTGACAATAATAAATCAAATCAAATCAAATTGAAAGTTACCTCCTAGCAAGATTTTGGGCATTTGCCATTGTATCTCCTTAGTGATCAGTTTGCCCTTTTGCTTGATAACGTTCCCGTCAAATACTTTGGGATATTTTACTACCTTGTGTTTAACCAATCTGTTGGAGTTCTTTGAGGAAGTAATGTGCTGTGGATAAGGGCAGACCGGGAGGTGCTGTACTTAGATTTCCAGAAGACATTTGATAACTTGCCACATGAAAGGCTGTTGAAAATAAAAGCTCATGATTTAGGGGCAAACATTTTGTTATGGACTGAGCTGGCTGACAACAACCAGAAGCATAAGTAGTTCTTCTTCAGGTTGACAAAGTCACGAGTGATGTGTGACAAGGGTCTGTACTAGGACCTCAACCTTTTATAATTTACATAAATGCCTTGGATGAAAGGGGTGTCTAAAGGTATGGCTGCTAAATTTGCCGATGACATAAAAATAGGTTGGAAAGTAAGTTGCAAAGAGGTCACAAGGCTAACAAGTGATATAGATGGGTTGAGTGAGGAGGAAAAGAGCTGACAAATGTGGGAAAATGTGAAATTGTCCATTTTGGCAGGAAGAGTGAAAAAGAAGCATTTTTATCTAATGGTGATAGATTGCAGTCCTCTGAGATGCAGAGGGATCTGGGTGTCCTAGTGCATGAAGCTTAAATGGTTAGTAGGCAGGTTTGACAAATATTTAGGAAAGGTTCAGAATGTTATCATTTATTGAAAAGTGAATTTAATACAAGGTTAGCTTATGCTTTGGTAACATGCTTCAGCGTTGGTGAGACTGCATCTGGACTACTGTGTACAGTAGTAGTCACTTTATTTAAGGAAGGTCGTAAATGCAGTGAAACGGTTCAGAGGAGGTTTACTAGATTAATATTTGGAATAGACAGGTTGCCTTATGAGGAAAGGTTGGACAGGCTAGGTAGGCCTCATCTGCTGGAATTTAGAACATTAAGAGGAGACTTTGTTGAAACACAAGGTCCTGAGTGGGCTTGACATGGTGGATATGAGAAGATGCTGCTTCTTGTGTGAGAATCTGAAACTACAGGTTACTATTTTTAAGTAGTCGTAGATAGATTCTTGGTAAGCAAAGGGGTGAAAATTTATGTCAAATAATCTGACCTTAAAAAATGGCAAGCGGTCTCTTGTTCTTAACTTGAATGCTCATATGTAAAGGTACCATATAAACACATCATGTTATTCATTAGGGGTACTGATGTTATTTGTTTCAGAATGCTTCACTGTATCAGGCATCTCCAAAGTCTTTTGTCAAAGAATGAGAGAGCTACATATCTTCTAACGTTGGCAGCAACTTCTGTAACCAGAAGTCAACATGTTGGCACGCCAATTAGCATGCATGGACCCTCAGAGGCTGCACAGCTACGAGGCATGTGTGAAAGTACCTTCTATGTCTACTGCATGAGAACAAGATTGTTTCACCAGTAATCAAATCTTTCCACGGCTGAATAAGCTTCAATGCATTGGGTAGCTGCTTATGTGAAGAATGGTCACATGAGTGAAATATTGGAGGTCTTTGAGAGGCGAGTTGCGGAGAAGCTACTACTTCTATTACCAGAATGCAGAACAAGGGACATGATCTTAAAATAAGAGCAATGATAAGAGATAAATCAGAAAACACTTTTCACACAACAGTTGGAGAACTGACTGAATTGTAACAGTTAACATCGGCCATCACTGGCTAATCTGGATCAAGTGTTGGATCACTGGGGTCATGGGGGAAACAAAGTAGTAGTCTCTCAGCATAGAGCCAAGTGCAGTCACTTAGCTTTTAAAATGTTGTCTTCATTTCAAAAAGTACGTTTCTCCCCCATCCTGCTAAGCTCCCCACCTCCAATATTCTCTGATCCCCGTCTTGAGATGTTGACTCTTGGGTTGCAATATGATAGA